TCTTTTCGATTTTTCATCGTAACCTCTTCAATGCTTATAACAAAATGCATTCGCAGAACTGTCCGATAATGAAAAAAATCAGGCAAAATGTGTTCGGTTTTTGAAAGTTCACAGTTTTCAGTGGGTATGTAAGTACGTGCAGAACGAAGTGCATGCACTTACAAAGGTACTCAATCTTTACTACGGCTTCGAAAGGTCACTGCAATACACACAATTTAATCTGCTAAGTAGAAGCCAGTTGTCGTTGGGGTGGGGTGGGGTGGGGGGTTAGGAGAAAGGGAAAAGGCCTTACCTCAATTAATTTTGCATGGACTTTTCCTCTCTCCCTTTCTTTTTCCTCTTTCTTCCCCCTCTTCTGTCCACGCCCTACAATGTGAGAGCCGCGCTGAAAGGATGAAAGTCTGGCTTTGTGTCAATCCTCAACGGCCTTCGTATTCCGTTTATTATGCTCTCTTTACCCTTTTCACAAGCCTACTAAGCCACGGCGCTTTGCAACCTTTGATGTCAAAGATATTTTGTCCTAATTGTTAACTAATTTTCAAGCTTTTTGCCACTATACTTTGTCATAATGCTGTTTGACCTTTCTTTACATGGGGACCACCCCTAGCCTTGCCCTATTACCATAATTTGTGTACGCCGCTAATGACCTTTGATGTTGACGCGGCAGACAAAAATCAGTAAATAATACTAATTACATTTTAATACCCAATTGCTGTATAGATTGAAAGAATGAACAATTGTCATGGGCATATTCAAAATGGTAGATCTGCGGACAGAACAGTGAGGCAAAATATTAATTGATGTATGGTTTCAAGTACACTCCATATATATATATATATATATATATATATATATATATATATATATATATATATATATATATATATATATATAATATGTGTGTTGTGTGTGTGTGTGTGTGTGTGTGTGTGTGTGTGTGTGTGTGTGTGTGTGTGTGGTGTGTGTGTGTGTGTGTGTGTGTGTGTGTGTGTGTATATGTACATACACATCTATGTATATATACGTACATATATACACATACAAATATATGTGTATATAAACACACACACCACACACACACACACACACACACACACACACACATGTATATAATATATATGGAACTAAACAGATAAAGGTCCATAACTATGTTTATATCTATCAACTGATCTATTTAGCTACACACAATGCACACACGTACACAAACACAAACACACACACACGTACACACACACACATACATACATATATATATATATATATATATATATATATATATATATATAATATATATAATATTACATATATATTCATATATATATACACATATATACGCATGTGTGTACGGAGATAGATGTGTCGATAGAGAGAGAAATAGAAATAGAGAGAGAAAATGAAGAACGAAACTTCTTTGACTTATCGACTTTTTATCGAGACAAAAAAAAAAATGCATCTCCAAAAATGAGGTAGTTGATCCTTATCCCTATCTTAATAAGTCCTTGTGTGGTCCAACAATTCACATGCAAATTTTTGGTATAGTAATAGGTGAAAATATGTAACAAAATCTGAATTACAAGAGTGTAAGTATTGTCGATAAATGTTCACCCTCATCAAGGTAAGTTTCTCCTTGGCTCACATAATCACATACAACGCACTTAAATATATAAAATGCGCTCCTTGGCTCACATAATCAGAAACAGCGCACATGAAATATAATAAGCGTGCAATGTATAATCATGATTCCGGAGAAGAGATTAATAGATTGTTGAGTGAAAAATTTGTGTCTCAGGAGAATGAAGCATAACATTCATTCTCAACTTACCAGAAAATTTTATGGTCAGCATATTCGCCTGGTATATTTATACCGTACCTCTTCAAATATCTGACCTTTCCAAATCATCTTTACTACCTTTTGAGATAAACCTATTATCTCTGCCTTTCTATGTGTCTGAAGCATATGACTAATAGAGTGTATCAGTGTATCTAGATAAACTACACACCCTGCATTAATTTTCCTGCTCATTTGTGTTAACGCCGGACTCCCAGTAGTATTTACACCAAGCCTGATCCTCATATACACGCTCTCTTTCCATTTGCTCTTGCCCTTCCCATAAGCAAAGTCTGTGTTCATAGCTAGATGCATGGAGTTTCTCAGTGTCGCTCGTCTTACTGGCCTCACCCTTTCTGGTTTCGTCATAGGCTAACTGTATCCTCTTGATACGCCTTCTCTCTCGCTCTCTTGCTCTTTCGCTCTCTTCCGCTTTCTCGTTCGTTCGCCCTTTCGCTCTCTCTCTCTCTTTCGCTCTCTCTTCGCTTTCTCGTTCGTTCGTCTTTCGCTCTCTTTCGATCTCTCTTTTTCGCTCTCTCTTCCGCTTTCTCGTTCTCTCGTTCCTTGCCTGTTTAAGAGTCATTATACACTTAATGCCCATCTTATGTTTCCTGAGTCGCCCCTTTAACAATCTCATCAACAGCTTCATTAAAGGTGACACCTACATGCGAAAGGATCCACACAAATGTAAACACACGCCCCTGACCTTGCAACCTATGAGCAATCAGACGACCCTCGTCAACTATGTGGCCAAACACAGGGTTGTGGCTGTTGAGTCCAGGGCTCCCCTGTTGTACACACACACACACACACACACACACACACACACACACACCACACACACACACACACACAGACACAGAGAGAGAGAGAGAGAGAGAGAGAGAGAGAGAGAGAGAGAGAGAGAGAGAGAGAGAGAGAGAGAGAGAGAAGGAGAGAGAGAGAGAGAAGAGAGAGAGAGAGAGAGAGAAAGAAGAGAAAGAAGAGAAGAGAGAGAAGAGAGAGAGAAGAGAAGAGAAGAGAAGAGAGAGAAAGAGAAGAGAAGAGAAGAGAGAGAGAGAGAGAGAGAGAGAGAGAGAGAGAGAGAGAGAGAGAGAGAGAGAGAGATTAATTATCTCAAATTAAGTGGCGTCGGTATTGTTCTTAGCTTTTATTACTCAGTCTTTTATTACACAGCTTACTCAGTCTCATGATGAACTGGATGTTTTAGGATAGGTGAGGACAGGGTGCAATCTGTGGCAAGACGTCGCTGTGGTTTATGGTCGGGCCTACGTGTGTGCCCTTTGAGTGTACGAAATAGATTAAGTTCATCTATTCTGTACTCCCGTGTGTTCTTCACGTAGACTGCGACCTTGAATTACATGCAGGAGTATTTATATTGTTATGAGAGTATTGGTGAAGGATAGAGATTTATTGATGGGCCTCTTACTTATCATGCGGATTGTGTTCAAGTGAATTATCTTTACATGCCAACAGATATGAGAAAATTATTGTGTGAAAATCCCTTGTATTTGTTTTTCGCATGTTTATAGATTGTCCTTAAACTACTTACTTTATTAAATATGAGCACATTGTATGTTTGTAAAATTTTCACTTATCAAAGTTTGACAGTAATTCCAACACTGAAAGCTTTTCGCTTTATCATCGTAACGTTTCCAACGCTTATAACAAAATCCATTCGCAGAACATTGTCAGGCAAAAATGAGTTCTCCGCTTTTTGAAACTCATGCATGTAATAGCTCGCGAAGAGTAAACACTGCTTGTATTTACAAAGACACAGTAAACACTGCTTGTATTTACAAAGGCACTCTTTTACTACGGCTTCGAAAGGCTACTGAAAGACTGAGTGAAAGACAAAAAATGAAAAATTGTCTTTTGGATATTCAACACGGTAGACCTATGAACAGGACAATGAGGCCAGATCTTCATTGATGTTTGGGTTCGAGTGCACTTCAAGAGCTTCGCGAAAGAGCGCGAGCACAACAGTTTACTGTTTGAAGTTGAGCTCACTTGGAACTTAACAAGGTTTCAAGTGTAAGATTTCTTAAGGTTTTGCGCTCACTGTTAGCAATGCTGTTCTCCGGATGCAGTTTCTGAATCATGACTTTTAGAAAGATTTTTGTTCAAGCGGCTCATTTGTGTCATTGAATAAATACTTTACAGCCAAAACAAAACTACTAAATGAATGGTGACTAGTATAATATTCATAGGTCAGTGCTTCTGACAGCATTCCATTAGTCTATACTAAATATCTAACCAGATCAATGGTATAATTCGCTAAATTTACTTTTACCATATGTATTTACACTTACCCTGTCTCAAAAACGTACATGATTATTACATATTCTTGTCACTCTTCAACCCTGTACATATAAAATACCGGAAAATTCAGTCTACAATACGTCCAATCTTAGGAAAAGAAGAACTGGCAACTCAGCCTGAATTCTGGCGGTCTCTTTTAAGAAAAGAAGAACTGGCAACTCAGCCTGAATTCTGGCGTTGTCTCTTTTGAGAAAATAGTAGTGTTGAAAGCGGCAAATTTCAATGCGAGATACCAAAATAACAACGTATATGTCACTCACTCACAAATGCATATGTTAACATTAGTTTCAAGTGCAAATTGATTAGAATAAAACAAGAGATGGCGAATCTGAGTACTCAAGAAACACGGACTGGGTTGCCATTTTTTATTTTTGTGTTCTAAGACTGGACAGAGTATGGTGATTTTTCTTACTATCAAAGACTATATACGGAAGACAGGAAACATGCTATCTAACGCATTCAAAATCGTATAGTCTTTGCTTACTATGTGTTATTTTAAGTTTGTGTTTGTTTAGCTTTCTCCGTGTTCCGATGGATTTATCAGGTATTTCGGATCTGTATTATATTTTATACTTTTTGTTTATCTGGAGGCAAGAAAGAATAAAAGGAGAGGAGAGAAAGAAAGAGCAGAGTAGTAGTAGTAGTAGTAGTAGAGAGAGAGAGAGAGAGAGAGAGAGAGAGAGAGAGAGAGAGAGAGAGAGAGAGAGAGAGAGAGAGAGAGAGAGAGAGAGAGAGAGAGAGAGAGAGGAGAGAGAGAGACTTTTTTTTGACTTTGACACGTTTATTGGAGACAAAAGTAAGATTACATCTCAAAAGGATGAGGTAACTTAGTTATCCTCACCCTTACTTA